CTTCCTTGCTATAAGATTAGAGGAAATGGATGGTGCCCAGTTACCATTACTGAATGCTTTGATCACGAACTGAATAAATGGGTCTTGATCAAATGTAGGAAAATAGAGAAATGGACCTCCAAGTTCTTACTGGTAAACAGACTTACTGGATATATTGAGAATGGAGGGATCCCTAAATCTACTGTCTGGTAATAATTTTTTAACTTTGAGCTGAAACTATCTCATGAAGTCATCTTTAAACTAAGCAACACTTTAGCCCAATAAATAATGTCTGCTTTGAGTTTTGCAACCTAGTGAAGAATTACTTATATTAGACTGAAATGACAATAGTAACTCTAATCACACATGACAACTTTAAAGGGGAAAGGATATAAGTTAGTAGTAAAACAAAAGAGGCAGAGATTGTAAGGATGGTGATGCAATATGAAGAATGTAATCATTATCAGTGAAATGTACATGCAAAAATTACTGAACAAATGCATGTCTTGGTGTGTATACTTTTATAAAAAAATAAATGAATTTGAAAAAAAAAAAAAAAAAGAAACAAAATAGTAACTCTGACTGCCCTTTCAAAATTAACTATTATGGACATGGTTCTTATTCATCTGTCCATATTATGGGATTCTTTGACATCACAGATTTAATTTGCAATCAATATAGATATTAAAAAGGAGCTCTGGTAGCGTAGTGGTTATGAATTGGGCTGCTAATCTCGTGGTCAGCAGTTCTACAGAATGTTCCATGGGAGAAAGATGAGGGCTTCTGCTCCTGTAAAAATTTACAGCCTCGGAAACCTTGTACAGGGTTGCTATGAGTCAGAACCAACTCCATAGTACATAACAACAACAACAACATAGATATTAAAATATATGTCACTGATTTCCTAATTAGTGCCTTAGGGTCTTTTTGTATAGATTAATGTATTTCTATCATATTCCAGGATAGAGAAAATGGAACAGTGAAAGTTTGGCAGACAATTCCTTCTCTTGTTATGAAGGAAGAAGTTCTTACCACCTATCAGCATGGTGCAGATGGAGAAGATCTTTTCTGCATCTGTATTAGCAGAGACATTCCCAAACCCAACACTGGTGAGGCTGCTGAGGGTGAAGTATAGAGCGGCGATATAGGCACTTCGGATTGAAGGGCCCCCCAAAGTACTGTTGCCATAGTATGGTGACTCAAGTCGCTTTCCCAGCTCATGGAGCCAACCTGCAATGGAAATAAGAATGAAAATTTAAGACCAAAATGTCAGGTCTTAGTATTAGCATATGGGCATAATGATAATCATTTAGGAATGTGATCATTTGCTTAAAGGAAAGAGATGAGTTAAATGTTAGTCAAAAGCAAGGAATTAGATTTTACTGCTTTAAAAAACATACACACCACTTTAAGTGAACTCTTCCCTGAAACACACATCAGGGAACTAAGAGTGCGCTGGTATCCAAATTTAAGCAGGTTATCCCAAGGAGCTCTGGTAGCGTAGTGGTTATGAATTGGGCTGTGAACCTTAAGGTCAGTGGTTCGAAACTACCAGCTGCTCCGTGGGAGAAAGATGAGGCTTTCTACTCCCATAAAGATTTATACCCTCGGAAACCCTGTACAGGGTCGCTATGGGTCGGAACCGACTCGAGGGCATTTAACAACAACAACATCCCAGGGCAAAAAACTAAATACAGAAATAGAAAAAGAGATTTCTACAGTCAATGACAGTACTGTACATTTCACTAGTGAATTATTTCATTTGCCAAGTGAAATTTTAAGAAACATGGGGGCCAGATAGATATTTACAAACCCTGCATGATGATCAATAACAAATATTACAAGATTCTAGACTTCACACAGATGACACAGATTTTTTTCCATCCTATACTATCTTTTCCCTTCTGGAGCATAGCAGCTCATAAGCTGAGCTGCTAACCAAAAGGTTAGCAGTTCTAATCTACAGGTTAGCTGCTCTGTAGGAGAAAGATGAGGCTTTCTGCTCCTATAAAGATTTACAGCCTTGGAAATCCTATACAGGGTCGTTATGACTCCATGGCACATAACCACCACCACCTTTGAAGTTTCAGCTCATGTTAGCATACTCAGGAAGCCTTCTCTGCAATCTTATTCTTACTGGGGGGAGAGATTTGCACAACTAAGAAATCTCTATAATAGAATTGGATGCCCCCCTGCCATTATTACATGATATTGGTTACATTGTCATTGTTGCTGTGTACTATTGAATCCAATCTGCCTCATAGTGACCTTACAGGACACAGTAGAACTGCTCCATATGATTTCCTAGACTGTGATCTTTAAAGGAGCAAATCACCAGGTCTTTTCTTTTATGAATCCGCTGCTCACTATGAACCACAGACCATTCAGTTAGCAGCTGAGTGCTCAACTATTGAGCCACCAACACTCCTTTTTGTTTTATGCTGTTAATGTTGTTAATGTTAATGTTGAGTTGGTGCTGACTCATAGTGACCTTATGCATAACAGACCAATACACTGCCCAGTCCTGTGCCAACCTCACAACCGTTGCTGTGCATGAACTCATTGTTGTTACCACTGTGCCAATACATCTCATTGGGTGTCTTCCTCTCCTTCACTGACCCTCCACTTTACCAAACATGATGTCCTTCTCCAGGGACTGGTCCTTACTGATAATATGTCTGAAGTATGAGAGATGAAGTCTGGACATCCTGGTTCTAAGGAGCATTGTATTCATACTGTACATCTAACACAGACTTGTTTGTTCTTTTGGCAGTCCATGGTATTTTCAACATTCTCCTCTAACACCATAAGTCAAAGGCATCACTTCTTTGATGGTATTTTTTATTCATTGTCCAACTTTCACATGCGTACATGTGTCAATTTTTTTCAAAGTAAAGACTTTCAATATAGAGTTTATTATGCCAATTATTGTTGTTATTAAGTGCTGTCAACTCACTTCCAACTCATAGTGACTCTGTATAGGGTTTCCAAGGAGCAGCTGGTGGGTTTGGACCTCTGATCTTGTGGTTAGTGGTCCAGAGCTTATTCTACAGCACCACACCAGGATTCTAAACTGGAGAGTGAGAACGTCAATCACACGACGTCTCACATACTAGGGAAGTATTCTACTATTTGAATTAATTTCCAATTACATTGTAGTGAAATTACAAAAGAGCTATATGAATCAATATGGAAAGTAGGGACTATAATAATAATAGGACTACCTGGAATGGAAATGCAACACAAAGATCCTTTAAAATATTATACTGAGAATATTAGCCTTTTAAAGTTTACTATCTCCTTTTCTTACTCTTTCTCGCTTGCTCTTTCTTATGTCAGTGAAGTCTAATCAATACATTTCAGAAGACTGTTATTAAGGGATATTATTCATCAACTACTTGTTGTTTAGTGCTGTTGAGTTGGTTCCAACTCATAAGGACCCTATATAGGGTTTTGAGAGTGACTGGTAAGCACGTACCTCTGACCTTGCAGTCTAGCAACACTTCATTTAGTGAGTGCCCAAGAAGAAATGAAAAACAACTACACTTTTTGAGCAGTAATAATACTGTAAACTATAAACTAAATACTGTAAACTGTAAACTATAGTAATAATACTGTAAACTTTAAAGTTACAGATTGTTGAGTTGTATTAGGTAAGTAAAATGCAAATTTGAAACAACTGGGACTTCTATGAAACCAAGGAGAAACTCTTAGCAGCAAGTGTTATGGCTGTGTCTCCAGAGAAGCGTTTCTCCTGTTAGTGTACATCAGAAACATCTAGAACCCTTGTTAAACAAAGACCACTGGATATCCTTGGTGACTGTGAGATGGTATGCTGAGAAGTTAGAGGGTTGGGTTGAGGATTTGTTTTTCTTACAAGTTCTCAGGCTCAGGAAGTGTTTAAGCTGCTACTTGAGTGACTGCACTTTGAGGGACCACACTAAGAATAGAAGTTCTCAGTTCTGCCTGTGTATGGGAAAGATTTTTTTAAATTTCAATTTATTCTAATTTTTGTTGTTCTTCTTAATAATATTCACAACACAACATACACCAATTTAGCAGTTTCAACTTGTATAATTCAAGGAACCCTAATAGAATGCTGGGTTATACATTCAGCTGCTAATTGCAATGTTAGGAGTTTGAGTCCACCAGGCACTCCATGGGAGAAAGATAAGGCTTTCTATTCCCAAAAATACTTACAGCCTCAGAAACCATATACAGGGTCACTATGAGTCAGAACCAATTCAACGGCATATAACCATCATCACCACCACTGCCACATGAGTTGGAATATATATACTCCATGGCATACCACCATCACCACTTGCATAATCCAGTGACATTGAAACTATTCTTTGAGTGTTATTTCTCACCCTCCTTTTCTGAGTTATTACTTCCCACTAACATAAATTCATTATCCCCTAAGGTTTCTTTCTCATCTTTCAAGTTGGTGTTATCAATTTGATCCCATATGTTGTTGAGAGCTGTCAAGTTTTTCAAAGAGCTCTAAAAAAGAGCATAACACTCAAGGTGGACATTCTATTGCTTGGTTTTAAGAAGACTTTAGAGGCTATTTTTGGTTTATGGTTTATATATTATTTCAGGGCAATAGTTTTGGGAGTTCATTCAGTGTCTAGAAACTGGTTCTAGAAACACTTGTCTTATGGCAAAACAGGCAGTTGTTCATAAGGCAATTAGCCACACATCCGTTACCTCCTCTGTTTTTCCTCCTCTTCCTGTGTGGCACACCAGGTGAATACAGAGCAACTGCTATGACTTGGCTGGCCATATGCAAACTTTTGAGTTGCCATGTACTACGTAAAGAAATAGGAAGTAAAGCAGAAGCACTAAACACATTATTGGGAATGTATTTCTTAAAATGTACTGTCCAATGATGGTGGATCCGGGAGAAGTGCAGTGAGGACCTTTGCAAGCAATAATACAGAATACCAAATGAAGCCGTTTCAGGGGATGGTCCAAGAACTCTGAACTACATATAAAGGAATATTTAAAAAGTTTGAAGGCGTACAGCCAGTAATATTTGCTGCAGAAGCATGAAATCTGGCGCTTTCTAATCAGATGGCCTCAGCCACTACTGGAGTAGCCATCTTGGGCAAGACAGAGCAGGGGAAGGATCAGAGCTACTGCAGATGCCTGACCTGTCCTCGAATATAAAGGTGTGGACATTTTTTTTTTTTTTAATTTGTTCATTGATTTTTAGCTGTCTAAGCAGAAGGGGTCTGCTTAAAACCAAACAGCAGAGCAAACGGTCACAGCTGACCCTGATCTGTTCATCACTAGGAAAAAAGCCTAAACTGGGATTGTGGAGGAGGAGAGATACAGACTAAAAAGGAAACAGGCTGAAAATTAAATCCTGAGTTATGTCTTAACGACCAAC